AAAATTACATTAAATTAAATTAACAAAAAAAGAAGCCAAACTTTGCCTCTCTCTACCATGTGAGGATACAGCAACATATGAGATATCCTTCACATCTATTAAAATTCCTGGCTTGGATCAAGTGCTTAATAAGTATTTCTAAGCAATTAAAATATTGACTAAACTCAGTATGCATTATAATATCAACTAGAATAGGTAGTAAAGAATGTGAGCTTAAATTTTCTGTGATAAATTTCTAATTTCGGTTGATGCATAGCCCTTTCAGTAACACTTTAAAGGGGAGAAAGAAAAATAAATGCTATTACAGATATAACTCCTTTCTCAGTAGTTTTTGAAAATCAAGATGACCATTTAGCTAAACTTACATACGTATAGGGTTTTTTCATTGCTTTTTCCCCTCTGCTGTTATTTTGTTTAAGCAGCAGAGGCAACACTCAAAATTTAAGGTTTGTATGCTTTCCACACGCATACTCGTACCTTCACAAATACACAAGCCCACAGAGTGTTTACATAAACACTGACCACTGACGATATAGCTAGTTGACTTTATATAACGAAAGAGTCAATATAATGTTTGATTTTCCTAAAGTTAATAGTGTGTTTCTTATGAACATCTTACTTCACTTTTACATGGCTGTTTAGAATTTTAAACACAGTCATATATGCCAGGTTTTGCAGAAAACTTATCGGCTGATATTAAGAATGGTAACTGATTTGTTCTAGCGGATTTAGCCTTCTATATTGCATTTTTCAACAATTAACAATCAAATAATTCATTATCCACTGTCAAGTTGTATTAATGCTTTTCACTGACTGTTTTGAACTGTTCTATTACCAAAAAGTAATTGATAGAACTGCATACAGCTGTCCTGTCATCCACCTGAATTGACCTAATCATGACAATTTATCACAACCAGTGCCAAATATCTTGAGAATCTTTTCAAAGTGATAGCAATGGGTGTTCAACCTTTAATGTTCAGGGATTGTGCAAGTCAGTGTTTGAATAAGATTGTGAACACCTATTGGGAATTGCTATCTGTAGATGGTTGTAATGAGTATTAAATATATTAATATTAAAAATACATGCGCTATTGAGCCAAACATATACAGAGGAAATTTAAATTGAATTTATGTTCTGTGGAGTCCCTAAGTTATTTCTTCTTAAGGGAGTAGTCAAATTATTATAATTATTATTATTATAACTAACAATTGTCATCCAGGTAATTGTCATCAAAGAGAGGTGTCAGGTTAGCTGAGGTCTGAGGGGAGTGGGTGGGCGAGGAGAAGGGAGCTGGAAAAACACTCAGGAGACACCAGGTAGATGGGACATGACTTTTTTCAGCAGTTCACTCACACTGTGGGTATTGCATTTATGCATCTTACAAACAGTAGTGGCTCCGAGCCAGGTGATGAGCTCTCCCATCTCTCCCATGTTATGGCTACATAGCTGTGATACACTCCAATTGTGTGCCTGCACTCCAATCCTGCTAAGTCACACAGGATGTTTATCTTGGCCTATGCCTGCCTGGCTGCAGTGCAGCCATGTTTCTTACACACCAACCCCTCTAGGCCAAGGAGGTCCTTTTAGCGGGGACCCATGCACATAGAGCCGTGCACTGGACCCATAGGCCGCAGCAACAATACAGGGAGCAACAACCTACTACTAATATTCTTACAGGGGGTTGTCCATAAGACACTCAAACACCTTAATTTCCTGTGACATTCCTTGTAAATTTGCTGCCATGTTCTGGTGGTTGTTGGGAATGAATGTACAACATAGTAACCTTGGACAGCTGTTACTATGTCTAAGGCCATCTTGTTTTACAGCACCACCTTCCTGATCTGATCAACCTCATCAGTTAACAAAATAAATGCAACTCGGGTGTAATTCAAGGCCTGAGTTGTGTGTACTACAAGGGCTGTAACGTGCATTTCTATAGTAATAAAACCTGCTCCAGGGATAGTTATTGCTAAGTCATAGAGCCATCAGAGAAGCCACTGTCCTTGCAAAAACTGGAAACATAGCACCTCCCAGTTATGTGGGTGACAAGACAATGTGGGAAGCACAGTGGCAGGCACATGGGCCACTCCAGCTATAACATCCAGTCCAACTGGCAAGCAGACATGGCCATCCTGTGTTCCCAGAGAACCATAAACTCCCAGGGGGCACAAAGTCCATTGGGGCTCCGTCTTGGTAAGGTGACCTGTGTGGTGACACATATTATGTTTGTATAGGCCACAGTGAGCAACCATCCCACACTGACTTTACCCCAGTGTTGCTCTATGCATCCTTGTACCTGCAATGGGGGCACCATGTGTTCTCTCATTAGCCAACACCGCCCATCACGGACACTATAAGTCAGCCAGGGGGCAGGCCTGCCAGCCATGGGTTTTGTGATGCCTCCATCCAAAACTCATTGTGTTGCATTCTGGCCATTGTCTGAGGGACCCCAAGTCTCTAACCATATCTAGTAGTTCTTTTCAGAAGGCGGATGTATGTGCCAGGGCAAGTGGTCCACAGCTGCTGCTGGAAGAGCAGTGCAGATCCAACAGTGGAGACACTGGTCACCTCGACATAGGTGTGGGCCCAGTCCACAATGCTGTTGAAGCACGCTAACTTATGGCCAGAACAGCCAAGGAGGCACAGGTACTAACAGGGGTAAGTCATGTCCCTCAGGAAAAATATAGGCCAATTTTTCATCTCTGGGAAACAATGGAACCTCCAAGGGCTTCTGCTGTGGCGATGGTACAGACCCCAGCACCTATTGATCTTATCAGCTCCCCATGGTTCTTTTGGGTCCTGTAAGGATGCCAAAGTCACAGGGAGCTCATGATAGACCACACAGACAGTACATATGTCCCCCAGAGGAGAGTCACTTCCCTGACCGTTCCCCTATGAACGGTTAATCGTGGAGGCCACACATTAAACATCCAAGGAGTAACATGTAAGTCATACTGTAGGCCCTCCCTACAGGGGGCTAAAATAGCCAACCATCAGTAATGGGGGGCTGCTTGGAGGGTCCATGGCCAACACCAGGTTTTCTGTTCTCTTGCCTTCAGGGGCATTGGAGCAAGCAACAACAGATTACCATTTGTCCCCATATCCAGTTAGTGGAGGTCATCCTTGGTTTGTATCTGTAGTTGGATGGGGGCAGCAGCCCAGTGTAACAGTGCCTCCATTGGGGCTAGGCCACCTTTCTATGGCTGCTCATTCAAGATTTGAAGCACCAGGTCCAACCTGAAACTCCAGCCCCACAAAGACTGGGGAGTAAGAGTAACATGCAGATGTAACCCATTCTTCAGCAGTTCACTGTATCTCTCAATCATGCCAGTGGCTTGTGGGTTATAAGGAACATGGAACCCTCATTGTATATCCATCTGCTGTGCCGACTGTCATACCTGCTGTCCAGTGAAACGTGTCCCCTATCACTTTCAATGGCCAGGAATGGCGATATAAGGCACATATGTGTTGCAAGACTCGAACGGTGTGTTGCTGGTCGGCTGCCCTGCTAGGGTAAGCAAACAAGAGGCTGGTGGCCATGTCTACAGCTGTCAGTGCATGCATGTAGTCCTGTGATTTTGGCAGTGATCCAATGTAATCTATTTGCCATCTGGTCAAGGGCATCTGTCCTACAGTCACTTGTTGTGTTACACTGAGCAGTTATGTCCATTTGTGGTATGCCTGAGCACACGTTGGCACTTCAGGCAGACCTCCCAAATGCCCTGTGAAGGCAAAGACAGACCCCAGCACCTATTGACCTGTTACATCAGCTTACCCACTGCATGTCCCAGTTTCCTGTGTAGCCACAGGCCACACCTCGTGTAGGTGCCGACTGTACCCAATGGACCTTGGCCAAGACATCTGGCTCATCATTACTGGAGGTGGCCAAAGGCATATGACTTGACACATGATAGATAGTTACATCTTTCTGTTGATCTGTTTCCCAGAGGTCTTGCCACATGGTTTGGCCCTAAATGGGCCAATAGCCTACAAGCCAGTTCTGTAATTTCCAGGTGGTCAACCATAAGGTTAAGTCTCAATAGACTGCAAAGCTATCAGTGCAGTTTACCATAGGTGTCTACTATTTGGTAATCACCATCCACACACCCTGCCCTGAGTTTAGCCCATTGGCTGCTTTGTTCACACCCCATATCAAACTATAGAGTGTCAGTATTAGGTTGGACTGCTATTGCTAGGCAGATCACCCACTGGAGCCCGTTTTTATCTTGGGAGTGGGTGGGTACCTGTGGATGGAGCATCTTCCCCTTCTTTATGGCACAATTCCCTGGTCTTGTGGGTGGCCTTCTGCTTCCTCGAGGGCTACCATAGCAGTAGGGATTTCATTTACGCAACACCCCACATATGGGGTGAGGACAGAGGCCAGAGAGCCAAAAGCACTTGGGGGCACTGAGGCCAGCATAGAATTCCTCATGTAAGAGATAAAACATTCATCATCTGGTTCCCAGGTATTCAGATCAAACATGTCCTGCTGTATACCCATCTCCTGGAGTACCTGCGCCAAATCAGTATGCCACTGCCGTCTACTGACAGCAGCTGGTATTTCACTGGCATCAGTCCACACAGTCCATATGACTGCCATCAGCTACTCAATCAGAGTGTGGTCACTTTGGCCCTGTGCTAACCTTCGGCTCACCTGCAGCCGCTGACAAAGGGAGGGGTGAGTTGTAATTGAAGCCAGCTTCTCCATGTTGGAGGTGGAACAGGAAATGATGTCAGCTCCTTCATTCCAAAGACGGAATAACCAGGCAGGGAGGGACTCCTCCAAACGCTGCCCACATTGCTTGCTTAACTCCCACAGCTCAGTGAGGGTTTAGGCACTATAGTCTCAGTGTGTTTCAGCACAGAAGAGGGTCCCTGAGCCTGCCCCTGAGGTCCCATCACTGCTCATGTTCTACCTCCTGACAGATCAGAGGGTGAGCCTGCAGTGGGGGAGCTTCCTACTCCTCTGCATCAGACTAAATGTGGGTTTCCAGCCAGGAGGACAAGCTCAAGGTCAAACTGACGGCTGTCTCTAACTCCTGTTCCAGGCTGTTTATCTGGGCCTCTAAATGCCCTGTTTGCACCTGGAGGTCCCTTATCCCCAATTTTTCTCCAAGATGTGCATTTGGGCCCCCAGGCACACAGCTTGCACCTGGAGGTCTCTTACCTGTTCAGCGTCCCTTAGGGACCGAGCAGGTACATCCCACAGTGCAGTCAGAAAAGCTCATCTGACTGCTTGTGATGGTGCATTCCTTCTCAGTGCTGTGTGCTTCCAGCTGCTTCAGTGCCTTCTCCACACTCACAAGGGACCCATCCACTGCCTCCCACATTTCCACTGGAGCCCATTCTAGTAGCATCACTCCCAACAGGTACCTTAGCCTGTGCTGCAGCCACATAGCTGACCTGGGAGCCTCGAGCTGAAGACCCACTAAGCTTATTCTGCTGACTATGGCAAAGTCAGGTTTGAACCCCAGCTGAGTTCCAAGGGGAGTAAGTGGACAGGGGGCAGGGAGCTGGAAGAACACCTGAGAGAAAGCAAGTAGATGGGACATGGCTTTATTGAGCAGCTCACTCACACTGTGGGTGCTGCATTTATGCACCTCACAAACAATAGTGGCTCTGAGCCAGGTGATGAGCCCTCCCATGTTATGGCTACATAGCTACAGTTATATGACGCACAGAATTGTGTGCCTGTGCTCCCGTCCTGCTGAGTCATGCAGGATATTTACCTGGGCCTATGCCTGCTTGGCTGCAGCACAGCCACTTTCCCTGTGGGTGGTTACTTGAACACTAACATAAACTCAATGAAATGTTATCTCTCCTATAGTAAATGATTGATAAACACTTGTTAATTCAAATAAAAATAATTTCATTAAATTGAACTATGTTGAAAACCTCAGATTTACAATTTAATACTTTGGTGGAAAACATGGAAATCATTTATAATATTTATTTTAATTTGAATACATAGCTGATACACAGCTGAAAATAAGTGAGTCAATGATTGTTGAAGGAATACATACCGTAAGAATTTTGAGCAATGAAACTGCATACTATTTTTCACTTCTTTTAAAAGCAACATTGCTTACATCTTTACAGATTTCAAACTTTTCTCTACATTCTGGATTTATATTTAAGAACTGCACTTTTACTAACAGGTCTACACTTGCTTCTTCAGCTTTCAAATGTAATTTTCTATTTCCTTCTCTCTGCAGGACATGAAATAAAAATCCATCAGAAGATGTATCATAGTGGAAAAAGCACAGGAAAGTAATGAGGGAAAATGGAAACAACTGTTGAATTTGGATAACGGGTATAATGACATTTCTTATGGTGTTCTTTTATATTCTTGCAACTTTTTTTTTTTTTTTTTTTTTTTTTTTTTTTT